GAAAGTCAATTATTCATAATGATGCGAATGATTATAATATAATTATTATTGATGAAGATAATATTGGTTTAATTGATTTTGGAGATATGTGTGAAACATTTCTTATAAGTGAAGTTGCTATTGCATGTGCTTATATTATGTTAGATAAACAAGATCCAATTAATTCAGCAACATATCTTATTCATGGTTATAATCAAATAATTCAATTTGAAAACATTGAAATTGATTTAATTTATCATTTTATTTGTACTCGACTTGCAATGAGCGTAACTATATCTGCTTATCAAAAACAAGTTCAATCTGATAATCATTATCTTGTTATTAGTGAAAAACCAGTTTGGTCTCTACTTGAAAAACTAAATACTATTCATACAACATTTATTTATCAGACTTTTCGTTCTGCTTGTGCTTCATCAAAATAGTTTATTCCAATATATTTTTAATTATATACAGATCTTTATTAATTAATAGATATTTCATACATTCAGGACAATCTAAAAGTGATAACGGAGATACTTTATTTCCGTATAGAAAGCTTCAAAAAATTTTCGTTTTTTTTTATATAGTAATAAAAAAGCAATGCTCTATTTTTTTGTGCTATTTTATCACTCTTCAATTATTATCATAATAATAAAACTTCGATAAGAACTGTTTTTTTGTGTAAAATCTTACTATAACATTAGATCATATTAATTATTCGTGTGTTCTCTTTTCTTTCACTTTTTTTTCTCGTCTTTTCGAATATCTCCTCGTCCATAGATATTAGAATGTACAAAAAGTAATGATGTTAAAATCGAAAAGAAAGAATCTATTTATCGAAGATTTTTCTATACTCTACTTTATTCAAAGAATACATGAACTTGGTTACAGCATCATACAATCATTTGGCATTGTTTTCATTGCTTAGATTCTGTTTGATTAGATCGAATAACCGAAAATCACATGGTGTCAAATCCAGACAATTAGGTGGATATGGTATTATTGTGATACCTTTTCATTCAAGATAATAGGACACATCTTTATGAATATATATTCTTTCATTATTGTGCTGAAGTTTAATACCACAGATGCCAAATGAAAGTCTTTGATATTTGATTTTGTCGAGAAGAGCTTGCAACAATTGTCGATATAATACAAATAGTCGAAACTTTGTCTCCATTCCATACGATAAATCAGAACAGGATCAATTGACCTAAAAAAGATGAAAAATACGGTTCTTGTAGCAACCTTACTGTGTCGAACCATGGTGGGTGAAGGATCTTCTCTTGCCAACCATGCAGCATTTAATGACTTTCGACCAATTTGTTTATGATAAAATCACGGTTCTATACCTGTCACTACTCCACATAAGCACCATGTTCCCTCTTCAACATTTTGCAAAATTTTGTTTGCATATTCGAACTTGTTCGGTACATTGAAAATTAGTCAGATGCTTGGGAATCAGAGTTGGAACCGGTCCGGCAATCCGGCTCCGGTCCGGCCGGACCGGACCGGACCGGACAAGACCGGACAAGAAGTTAAACCGGGCCGGACAGAACCGGATTTCTGCCAGTTCATCATTACAAAATTGTTGTTTGTATCCAAGAATTTTCTCTACTGAAAACGGTGTTTTTATGAAATTTTCAAGTCCGAAGAATGTATTTGTGAAAGACTCAATAGATATCTTGTCTTTAACTTGACTATAAACGATTGATTGTTCTCTTTATAGCTCTATCGATTTCTTTCTCGCGTATCGCTCAATTTAACCTAGATCAAATAATTTATTTTCTTGTTCTACTTAGACAGCTGCCTGAATCAAGAAAAATAAATATTTACAATTTTGTGTTAGATTTATTATAAACCTGCTTTTTTCCTTTTTTGAGATTAAGATGAAAAAATAAATTTGATTTAAATAGCTAATTTATATCGGCATCGGACTCGAAAGGTTGACGCACCTTGCTATAAAATGTAACGATGAGCGTTTCATTTCCCAGTTTTAGTTTCCAGTTCGAATTAGGGCTGGCGATTTCCTGTTAATTTATTTTAAATTTAAACGTTTGCGAATTTAAATTTAAAATAAATTCAAATTTTTCAGATATGAGAATTTAGATTTATTTGAAATGTCAATTTTAAGAAGTTAAATTTATTTAGAATTCAAATTTTGTAAATTTTAATTTTAAATTGGATTTACATAAATTTTAAATTCAGTTTTAATCAATATAAATCCAATTTAAACGAATAAAATTCAATTTAAATTCATTTAATCAAATTTAAATCCCATATGAATTAGTGTGAATGGATTGAAATCCAATTAAATGAATTTAAATTGAATTCTATTTGGTTTAAATTGAATTTATATTGATTTAAACTGGATTTAAATAAATTTAAAAAATTTAAATAAACTTAAATAATTTAAACAAATTTAAATTTATGTAAATCCAATTTAAATTTAAAATACATTTAAATTTACAAAATTGATTTTTGAATTTATCAAACTTTCGTAAATGTAAAGTGATCACCCCTAGTTCGGATTCCTACATGTAAATATTCAATTCCCTTTCGCTACCATTTTATGTAAACAGATACTTTCATGGTCGGTGATTTTCGCCGGATTTTTACCAGTTTGGCTGTAAAATTCATCCGGCCGGTTGCTGGCCGGACCGGACCGGACGGATTCTTTAACCGGCCGGACCGGACCGGACAGAAAAAAACTGTCCGGTTCCAACTCTGTTGGGAATATAACGAGCGATAATTTTTGTAAGCTTTAAATGATTGGAGATGGTTCGCTAAATGGTGTTGTAACTTAGACCAATTTGTTCTTGCATCTCTTCTTTTATAATATAAGGATCATTGTCAATAAGAAGGTGAATCTGTTACATATCTTCAGATGTTGCTACAGTAACAGACCTGTCAGATCGTGTTTGATCTTCAACTTCTTCTTGACCTTCATGAAATCATTTAGACCATCTTTCAACTTTTCTAAGAAGAGAAACTCGATCATCGTCAATAGAATATAATTCATCATGAATAACTTTGCTTGAATGGTGCAGTACGCATTTTAACATAGAAGCAAAATTTTTCCATATTCATGTGAAACAGGTGAACAGTGTTAATGTTTAACTTAACTTTATTTTTTGATTTCCTTGAAAATACACGAATAAACTACACATAAACACAAAACAGACATATGTCTTAATATATACAGGTACTCCAAAAAGCATCTGGATATTTACGGTCGCACCGAGCTTTTTCTCAAAATCGATTTTGATCTGGGCATATGTAAATCGCATGAAATTTTCAGCCCTATAGCATGACGTTTGAGAGAGATATTCACCAAACAAGGATCAACAATAGCTCATTTGGGAATCTAAAATTCTCTATGGGTCTTCATTATATATGTTTAACTTTTTGTTTCGTTTGCAAGACCATGTCAAGATGCAGAGTATGACAGAACCCTTTTCTTTCTAAATTCTACTTATCAAGCGGACAAAATAGGTGAAAAGTTCAGTAACTCAAAAAACTTCGAAAAAATGGGAGTGTTTTAGGTTATTGAGCCTTTCGTCTGTTTTGTCCGCTTAATAAGTGGAATTTACAAAGAAAAGGGTTCTGTCATATCCTGCATCTTGACATGATCCTTGAAGGAAAAAAAAAAGTAAGCATATAGAATGATGACGACCCACAGAGAATTATAGATTCCCAAATAAGCTATTGTTGACTCTTGTTTGGCGAATATCTCTCTCAAACGTCATATTATAGGGCTAAAAATTTCACCATAGTCTCTTCCCTACAGTCCCAACATATCCTGAAATTTTCATACGATTTCTATATGCCTGGATCAAAAATCGATTTTGAGAAAAGGTAGGGGATGGCCTCAAGTGTCTGGATACTTTTTGGAGTATCTATCGACAGGTAGGCATTAGAAGAGACGAGAAAAAATGACGAAAGACAAGAAAAGAGAAAAAGAAAGAAAAAAAACAAAAATAGAATACACATGGATAATTAATATAATCTAATGTTATAGTCAAGTTTTACACAAAAAAAACAGTTCTTATCGAAGTTTTATTATTATGATATTAGTTGAAAAGTAATCAAATAGCAGAAAATAGTAGAGTATTGTTTTTTCTATTACTACAATAAAAATAGAAAATTTCTTCAAACTTTTTATATGGAAATCGAGTACCTCCACCATTAGTTTTGGATTGCCCTAAGTATTTTAATATTGTATTGTTCGTAATTTTTATTTTATTCAATTTATTTATCTCTTTTAGATTGGTAAAAAATTATAAATTGATTCTTGAATTTAAATACAATTTATTGAACAATTCATAACTATTCACAGAATTTATTAAGAAGAAAACTAGTTGAATGAAAAAAAAAACACTATATTAATTCCATTTTTAATCTATCGAAATTGTTTAACTAATTTGAGTAACAGATTTAGATCGATTAATTAATGATAATCTTTATGCAAAGATTATTTTATAATAGAAATTCATCAAAGAAATATTCAGACTTGAGGTTAAACTCAATTTGATTCTATTGTTTTTATATAAAGATATCTAATGAAGATTCACATTGTTTATTTAACTTGATTCAAATTATTATTTTGATTATACTCTTATTTATCAGTTTTTCTTTTTCAAAATAAAACAAACGCGTCGTTTATTCAACAAATTTTACTAAACAATATTCAAAACGAATCACCAACTAATTGTATAAAATCAATTGTTTAATAATTTATGTTATTTTTAGTTTACTCTTATGATAATTATGTAACACTCATGAATATATCTGATTTTTTTTCGGTTCACTTGTGCCAATCGTTAACTAGATATTAATAATAAAACAAATCAAACAAAAATCAAGAAGAGTTTTTGTTCTGTCTCTACAACAAAAGTAAAGGCATCGTTAACTTTTCTTATTATAAGACTGCAAACTTCTAACTTAAAATTGTTAGATAGACAATACTTCAACTCGTTTATTCATGTAACAGAAAAAATTCATAGAGAAGTAATGTTTCTTCTAAAATCCCACTTGTCTACACAAAATATGTTTGTATTTTAATTTTTTTTCTATTACGTCATCACAGGTTGAAGGTACGGTCAAATATTACCTACCTATTGTCTATCATAAGAAAAAAAAAACAAAATATAATCAGATTATTATAAAGAAAAAAATTATTTTAATTATTGTAGAAAGAAAGAATGCCATATTAATTCTTATTTAATTTATTTTTTAGAAAAATATTCTTTTTAAAAAGTCTTTGGAAAAAAGTACAATAAAACACCTATTTCAATTGTTGGTAAATAAAAATTTGTCGATTATAGGAAAAAATATATATTCGTATTAGATGTTTGTACATGCGCTCTGTGCATGATAAAATTTAATGTCGTCTTGTCTTGTTTTAAAGTACATGATCCACTGAGCAGTATATAAGTTGTAG